GTAAATAAATAAATGAGTAATTAATGTTGCCAGTGGCGCGCGTCCGAAGGCTGGCCGCATACGAATCTGTGCATTATAAAGTATTAACATCGGTTATGGCGCTCGTTTCTTAGCTGGTTTTTATTTGTACTCTACCAATTAGTGTGAGTGTTGCAGGAAGAGAGCTATATATTAGTGGAAGAACTGCTTAATGGAAAGCCACTTGACTTCTAGATCGGACTGTCGTTTTTGCGTGATTTCTACACGAAGCAATAAGTCGCAGATTGTCCTTATGTTGTGCGGTTATTAGTGATAATGAGGAAGTATTTAAAAAGAAACATTAGTTCCCGAAATCAAACAAGATGTCGCTACGGTACGTTCTTGATTTCTCCGTGACAATCCTTCCGTTTTCTTTCATGTTTAAAAGTAAATTAGTTTTCAAAACTCAATAAACAACTCATATTCTATTTGTACTTTTTCGTATTTGTATTGATACCTAAGTTACAAATTTTTCAAATTTCTCTTTTTTAATGTTAGTAAAAGGGAACGAAAACGACTGTCTTTGGTCCATTCGTTTCCTGTAAAAATTAACTTTTGCTAGAGTTGCCATCTACTGAAGGTGCTTCTTTAGTGCTTTCGTTTTTTTTAAAATACTTCCTTATTATGTGATCATAGTAGTTTATTTTAACTATCATCCAGTGTTGTTAGGCTATAAATATCAGCAATTATTACAGACATGAAAAAGGTGAAATAAGAAATAACCATGGTCAGTGGCGGACTAACCTCATCGGAGGCCCAGCCCGGCAATAGGTCCAGATTTACAACTTTTTCCAACCAACCTTGCGATTCTGTAAAAATCCAAACCCGAATTCGAATTCACTCATGTGTCTGAATTCAAGTTATTTAGTGTCGAAATTCTATTGATTCTTTTTTTGTATAAAAAATACAAAACAAAATTGATTGAATATACGTGTCTCAAATATTCTATTCCTATGTCATTTCGAAACTCCCTTCACTTATGACATGAAATGTTATTAGCAATTCAAGATTGAGCGGATGTCGCTATTTGAGGTGAGTTGAGTTGGATATTGCGATTAAAACCCCTGACGTGATACGGACTGCACTTCATTAAAAAAAAATAATCCAAGGACATTAAAAGTGTCAGCAAATAAGTTAAAAATGCATTTCAGGATATTAGATATGTCAGCATTTTATATTATAATTTTATATATTAATTAGATGACCCGGTGTACTTTGTATCACACCTTCCCTGGTCTACGACAAACATTTTAAAATCAAAACCAGCAAAATGGGTCCAGACTTCTCGAGTTTTAGCGAAATAAACGGACAGCAATTGATTTTTGTTTATAATAAAGTTTTAATTCTTCTTAACTTTATTATTAGCTATTATAGATCTTTATGGTCCTACGAGCTGGAATCAAAGATTTCACTGTTGTATCAGTTATATTTTTATATATTCTTTTTATACCTGATAAATAAATTAACAAACAACGCAAAAGTAGAAGCTGGAGATCTAAATCATTGGAGGTAGTGATAGACGTGTTTAAGGACCACACACAGCCTAAAGCGTATGATATAGCTTCACGTAGGTGAAATAATTTTCATAATTGGATCAGTATTTCCGAATATTACTCTCTACAAACAAACGAAATTAGAGACTCATCATCATCAGCCCATTTACGTCCCCACTGCAGAGGATCAGGCCTTCCTTGTACGCTGCCCAATGCGGATTGGAGGGTATTAACAACTGCAGATATAGACGGGATCAACGGCTTAACGTGCCTTTCGAAGCACGGAGTAGCTCAAGATAATAAATTTAGGTCACCCATTCTGTGACGGCCGTTGAAAATGTTGCTTAACAGCAAATATTAATTAGAAACAGTGTCGATTTATCCAATTTCTTATGTTTGAACACTTTTTAAAAAACATATTCTCTAAAATGTGTTTTAAATTAAAACTGCCGTTTGTACTAATAACGAATTTATAATTTAATTAATAATTTACAAATGCGTCGAGTTGCTCTTACAATTAATTTATTAAATATGTAACTGATTTTCTAATGTGTTCAAATGAAACAAATATACAAATAAAGATAGACAATTAAGTATATTATCGTAAACTCATATATGTATTGTATATCTACTTATTCTACAAATTTTCAAAGTACTGTGCCTACGTTTATTAAAAAATCTAATAGTCTGTTTAAAGTTGTTTTAATTCTTAACTTTTTATACGTATACAATAATTTATTAAAATAAAACTATTTACAATGTGTTTATACAAAATGATCACTAATATTTATATATCGAACATATTGACATGAACAAGTCTTAGATATTGGAAATCGGAAAGACTTTTTTAAAGTTATCAATTCTATATGGTTTTATCAAATATTGTCAACAAAATTTTAAATAGGAACAAAATAGGATGATATCAATCGCTGTTGGATATTTTTTTGGTAATTTGAGAATTGGCCCTCTAATATGTATGATTTTTTTAAGATTGAAGCTTTGTACAAAAGTGCACATGTTTTTTAGTTGTTTACAAACAGAGCTGATTAATAATTGATGTGTTTATTATTATTTTTTTTTAATATTGATTTACAACTATTGAGCTGACATACAATATAAACCTATTTTTAGCAAATAAGATATCGGATCGCAATGGCACTTTTTTGTTTGAGTGTACAACTTAGAGAAAAAAAGCAAAAGGTTCATATAAACTGGTTTAATACATAGTTATCAATATTATAAAAACGAAAAATTTTAAAGTATTGAAATAAACGATTTTAAGAAATTCATAAAAACGTAAAATAAATCGAGAAACTTCGGCGTTCTTAAATCGATGTTATTTAAATATGTTCTTACAAACGTCGGTTAGATTTCTAGATTTAAAAAAAAAAAAATGCAATTGCCTTAAAAATATTCAAGGAACTAAAATTACAAGTCGATTCTGGAACTGGATTCCTTTTGAAATTCAAAAAGTTTACATTACAGACGCTCAACAAAAACTTGTAAAATGCCATTTGCGCCACAACATTAAAGAATAAGTACCACATTAGTAACTGTTTAACAACCTGCGGCGTAAGAAATAAATAGATTCAATGGTTAAAATAAATGTAATCAGCAATTACAAACCATCGTGAATGGGAATCGGCTAATTAGTGGTGTAAATGAAAATTAACTGGGTACAATATTTCGTACTATCGGCCAAAGTAATGATGTTATACAGTTAATACATCCCCAATCTTGTAATGTTAGGATAAAGTTATAATTTGTTATTTTTATCATAACGGTTTTAAGAGGTCGCACACATAAAACTAACTAACTGTAAATTAGTTTTGTAAAGAAATAACTGAAAAAATTACATTATATATATTTCTGAGGGTTGTGAAGCTTGTCAAAGGAAAGGCGCGAACTTATGAAACTCCTTAACTCAACATGTTTTACATGTCTTGCTATAATCATACCCTTTATAAACAGAGATAATTGATAAATATGTAATCCAATAGGCATCCGAGAGAATTGTGCAGTTTTTTATAGTTTCCGAGTAATTAATAAAATTCTGTATGATACTTGACGCCCACTTTAAAGTATACGTAGCTAACAAGAAACCTTTATAGTTTCGTCACCTCTTTTTCTAAGCTAAAGACAGTTCTTTTCCTATTTCATCCACTTTTCTCGTTCCGAATTGACGCAAGTGCTAAATAATTAATATAAATGTCTAAATTATTTTGCATATAAGAATAATCATAAAAGGAAGCCCTTACGGTCACGAGCATGAAGCTTCATATTTGTAGCTTGTATTAGTAAAAACTGAACAAAAATAATTTACAGCATTTTAGTTAATTAAAAAGTCTTCAGAAATTTTTCGTTATTTTACATAATAAAGTGTCTTGTGAATTTACTTTGATATCTTTCAGCTTGCGTTTTTTTTTTATTTTACGGGATAAGGGCTTTCTGTACCGTCTTGGCGACGCCCTTATAAGTATCTAAAGACATTTGTATATAGTAATATAGATGGATGTTGTATGTATTTAAAATTTTCTCGTTTTAACTAGTAAGTCAGAGAGATGCAGTAATTCAGGAAGTTATAAAAGCTGTATTGCTGTTAGTTAATTGAAGTGACTATCGGATATCGTGTCAGAATGCGCTGCTAGTTATAAAACTTTTGTGTTTGCGAGCTTTCCATAATAGACTTTTATTAATCATGCACAATTTTTATAAAAAGGTTGACATTGTTAGTTCAGGAACAAGGTTTTAATAGCTTTTTTGTTTTCGTATATGGCTCTCTGTTTTCTGCACAATGGTTATGAGAAAGTAATATTGCATCAACTTTTAGATGAATACTATTTAGAAATTCATTAGAAAACAGTTGCGGTTCAATAAGCACAACTATGTTTTAATATTGTAATGAATAGCGTTTGAAAAACTCTCTTGGAATGGACAAATGTTTCTACGGATTGGGGGAACGATAAATATTTTGTATTTGAAATAGTTACGTTTTGAAATTAGTCAATGAGATGATTCGATGTGTAAATTGATGTCAATAAAAAAGCTATCATAAAATATACAAATACTTGTTTCTTCTTACTTTCTCACACAAATAAAATGTAAGTAAGATATCAATCGGTTTTTGTCTTATAACCAAATTTTGAAACAAATTTAACTTGAAAAATTGCACATAATGTTCGACACTTCGTAAACACTTTTTTATTTAATTGTTCACTAAAATAATATGGAACATATTAAAACACTTATTATATAAGTCGATTAAGCATGGTATTCCCACAGAAGTTTTGATAGTTATCTTACCATACATTTACACTTATAAATATCCGAGTAGTTACTAAAAATGTCTCAAAGTATTATCGAAGCGCAAAGATTTTCAAATTCGATAATCAGATTCCACTGCACAAAAAAGTTTCAAATTTGGAATAATGGTTGCCGTTAAGATGGCGGTTGGTCGGGTGCGTCACGCGTTCCCTCCTTTTCTATTCGTCAATGAGGCTGTAAGGAGTTGAGTATGTTCATGTTGATGGCGTGTTGATGACTCGGGGGGCCACCGAGGAAACTGAGTTGTGGTCGCGTGGCGGCAGCCATCGCTGCGAAGAGTGGGGGAGCACCTCCTCCCCCAAATAGAGCGAAGGACGGTGGCAGAAGTGGGCGCGCCGATAGCCGAAGTTTTTCAATCTCGGCTTCTTGCAAGCGTTTCGCCTTCGCTCTTCTATTTTGAAACCATATTTTAACCTGAAACAGGCGATGAATTGGTAGGTAAGGAAAATGGGCCTCGAGCAAATTAGTTAGTTGCTATATAAAAACATTTAGGCATCAGTCAGATTCCAATTGACTTAAATATATAAAAATAGCCATTAGAAGAAACGAGGAGATATCATTGAGCAAAATTTATAATATAAAGGGAAATTATACATATACTATGAAAACCGACATGACACCGACTTGTTCAGTGCAATCTCAGAAGTGATATTCTGTTAAAAATTCGACGCCGAGCATAGCGCTGTCATAACATTGCAGGTTTAATCAAACAAAATCTTTAATAATGTTAGGATATTTCTTTGTGATCTTCGTGTAAATATCTAAACTTTTGGTCGAAAAGCTCCTTCAAAAGTTGAGAGTGTCTGTTCAGTTGCTATTAATTATATTATTAAGTTACCTGTGTTTCAGTGAGTCGCAGCGAAGACGAAAACTCTGCTCTTTCAGCGATGCTCAGGTACTGCTTGTCCCTGAATTTCTTCTCCAATGCGAGCAGCTGCTGCGTGGTGAACGGCGTCCGCGGCTTCCTGTTCGGTTTGTGCTTGCGAAGTTGGCACCGGACAACTGGCGGCCCGCTTGGAGTACCGGCTGCACAGTAATAATAGTATATCAATCACACTGTCAATATCAACACTGCTCAGTGTGCTATGGATATAAACACATTAGGAGTACCTACAGGTTACAATCCATCACTAATAGGGATGACGATTGGCTAAAAAAATGCAATTCTATTTAGTCCGTCAGTCAGATAATAGAAAAATATTAGATACGCATTTTTTTTTACTTCAATTCAACGAGAAATAGCTTAGATAACAGGCATTAAAGTTGAGGGGTGGGGGCTAGCTACGTCACAGTTTTGTAGAAAACGTACCATAACGTGACGTCATGCGAAATTTCAACTCCATGTATCGCCGTTGTAGTGTACCTACATATAAATAAATGTATATGCATAAGATAAAATAATTGTCAAAGTAAACATTATAAAAAAAATATTATATTTAATTAAATTATATGTACAAATACTCCATAACATAATATATAAAATTGTTTAACATGTTAAATTTAAGAAATAATATTTAATGTATTTGTTTGAATGTGTTACACAAGGACAAACACATCTAGTTTCTTTGTATATAATTTTGGCGCTCGCACTAGCTCGGGACGCGGTTACTGCGCAGGCGTGAGACCGCGCGGCGCGGCGTCGCGGCTCGCGCATGCGTGAGGTAGCCCGCGAAATACGAGAGTCGCGTCCACAGATTATTATTGAGATGCATGTAGCACGCGTTGTTTTAATTCAAATTTATTGTTCATATTATTAGATGTCAACCTGAAATAGTTTCATATTTCTTTTTTGCTCACGTTCGCCTTCTTTATTCTATAGCATTGTCTGTACTTTTGTGCTTATATTTTATTACTTTTTACACATGTGAGTGGTGAATAAAAACTTTAAAAATCTAACATAATTTATTTGGAGTTACATCACCACCGCCTCACTGGTGACCCCGATTGAGCACATCATGAGTGAGCCTACGAAGACATCGGAGCAAAGCTGTAAGCATCAAATCCGCCGAGTGATGTTCATCGTGTTGGTGTACGGGTTCCGCCATTTTATCCAGAGAAGCCGGCGTTATGGTTCGCACAGCTAGAGAGCCAATTTTATCTGGCAAATATAACCACGGATGCTACTAAATTCCACTACGCCATCAGTCAATTGGACCCTGTCTACGCATCGGAAGTTGAAGACATAATATCGGCACCACCATCACCGTACAAGTACGAGCGGTTAAAGACGGAGCTTATTAAACGTCTGTCCGCATCGAGGGAAAAGAAGGTGAAACAATTACTTATACACGAAGAGCTGGGCGACAGGAAACCGTCACAGTTCCTACGTCACCTTCAACACCTCGCAGGGCCAGAGATTCCTGAGGAATTTCTAAAGACAATTTGGACCAGCCGCCTGCCGAGTAGTACGCAGTCAATAATAGCATCTCAAGTGAAAGCATCCCTGGAGGAAGTCGCGGAGCTGGCAGATAAAATCCATGACATCGTCCCACCAAGCCCACAAGTAGCAGCAGCATCGGTGACACCTGGAAGTTCTACCGATACGTCCAACCAAATCGCCGAGCTCACACGACAGATACAATTTTTGAACAAGAAAGTAGAAAGGATGTCGCGACAACGACGAAGATTTACCCCTAACGATCGTTCCCGTGAAAATTCACATCACCGACGGTCACAGTCCAACTATAAAAAATTTCCTGTGTGTTGGTATCATTGTAAATTCGGTGATAAGGCTACTAAGTGCGTGAAACCTTGTGATTATTCGGGAAAAGTGTAGGGCAGATCGTAATGGCGACCGACGCCTGTCCAAACTCCGGTCGCTTATTTGTAACAGACAGTCGTACTAAAATACAATTTTTAGTTGATACAGGTAGTGATATTTGTGTTTTCCCCAAAAAATTAATCAGCAAGCATCGTCACAAAACAAATTATGAATTATGCGCCGCTAACGGTTCAACGATTCATACATACGGGTATGCCCATTTTGTTTTAAATATTGGCTTGCGCCGTGACTATGCTTGGCGATTTATCGTCGCAGACGTAACACGAGCGATAATAGGTGTTGATTTTTTATCTTATTATAATTTAGTTGTAGATGTGCGTAATCAACGCCTAATAGATGCTAATACTACGCTTAGTACCTCGGCTTTGCTTGCCAAAAATTTTGATATTTTTTCAGTGAAAGTAATGTCTGGTGACACTGTTTATCATCGCATACTAGCCGAATACCCCAACATTACTCGTCCTTCTGGCTTACATGCTTCAGTAAAACATAACACTGTACATCACATACGCACAACACCTGGACCACCTGTATCTTGCTCACCACGTCGATTAGCACCTGATCGGCTTAAAATTGCTAAGGCCGAATTTGAGGCCATGTTACAGATTGGTACCTGTCGACCATCAGAGTCTCCATGGTCATCTCCTCTACATCTAGCACCGAAAAAGGATGACGGCTGGCGTCCCTGTGGAGACTACCGGATGCTGAATGCGAGAACTATTCCCGACAGGTACTCTATACGTCATATACAGGACTTTGACTATAATCTTTCTGGCTGCACTGTATTTTCCACCATTGACCTAGTGAAGGCCTATAACCAGGTCCCGATTAATCCCAGCGACGTACCGAAAACTGCAATCACGACGCCGTTCGGCCTATACGAGTTCCCGTACATGACGTTCGGACTTCGTAATGCCGGACAAACGTTTCAACGGTTCGTCGACGAAGTGCTGCGGGGCTTAGATTTCGTTTATCCGTATATTGATGATATTTTGGTCTTTTCTGTCGATCAGAAAACTCATGAAGATCATCTTAATCAGGTATTTGGCAGATTAAACGAGTATGGCATGGTCATTAATACTGCAAAATGTACATTTGGAGCATCTGAAGTCACGTTTCTAGGCTATCATGTTTCGGCTGAGGGCGTCAAACCACCTTCAGAAAAGGTTACGGCTATTAGGAACTTTCCCGCTCCAAAAACAGTTCGGGAATTACGTAGATTCCTCGGTATGGTGAATTTTTATCGCAGGTTTATTCCACAAGCTGCTCAACATCAAGCACCGTTGAACGCTCTTCTGGTTGGATCGGTAAAAGGTTCTCACCCTGTAAATTTATCTGCCCACGAACTGGAAGCTTTTGAAGAGTGTAAAGAAGATCTTTGTCGAGCTGCTATGCTGGTGCATCCTGATTGTAAGGAAAAATTGGCCTTAGTCACGGACGCATCAGACACTGCTATCGGAGCCGTTTTACAACAGTCCAAAGATGACGTCTGGCAGCCACTGGGATTCTTTTCCCGTAAGTTGTCCCCATCTCAGACCAAATACTCTCCATACGACCGGGAGTTATTAGCCATATACGAGGCTATCAAACACTTTCGGCATATGTTAGAAGCTCGCGATTTTGTGATATACACAGATCACAAACCCCTTACATTTGCATTTCATTCCCATAAAGCTAATTGTTCGCCCAGACAGTTCCGCCACTTAGATTTTATATCTCAATTTTGCACCGACATAAGGCATATTGCTGGCAAAAACAACTTAGTAGCTGATACTCTTTCACGCGTTGATGAAATAGTAAAACCTGTTGACATAGAAAAGCTAGCCATCATGCAAAGTTCAGATGACGAATTAAAATCATTTTTAAACTCCGATACATCTATGCGCCTTGAAAAAGTGAAACTGCCTGGAACTGATCTTGAATTATTTTGCGATGTAAAAGGTGATACTAAACGTCCATTTGTTGTAAAAGATTTACGTCGCCATGTGTTTGAGAGCCTACATTCGCTTAGTCACCCAGGTACGAGATCTACTGTCAAATTAGTATCTGATCGTTTTGTATGGCCAGGAATTCGTAGAGACTGCAAAAATTGGGTTCGTTCTTGTATGGCTTGTCAACGGTCCAAAGTCACTCGACATGTTTCATCGCCTATTGGAAACTTTGTGCTGCCTTCCGCTAGATTCAAGCACATACACATAGACTTAATAGGACCATTACCCATTTCGCATGGATTTAGGTATTGTCTCACCGCCATTGATCGTTTTACACGATGGCCTGAGGCAATACCATTATCCGACATTACAGCGGAAACTGTAGCAAGGTCTCTTTTAAGTGGATGGATTTCTCGCTTCGGCTGTCCAACACAGATTGTTACAGATCGCGGGAGACAATTCGAATCGGCATTGTTCAAGCACCTATCTGATATTGCCGGCTTCCAACATAAGCGTACCACTGCCTATCATCCGTCGTGCAACGGGTTAGTGGAAAGGTTTCACAGGCAACTTAAAGCTGCAATAACCTGCCACACTGGCAGCAGTTGGGTAGAGTCTCTTCCTCTTGTCTTATTAGGTATTCGTAGCACCTATAAAGAAGATTTAAAGTCATCTTCTGCTGAATTGCTATATGGAGAACCACTACGTCTGCCAGGAGATTTTTTTCAACCAGGTACAGATAACACAATCGACATGACAGATTATGTAGGACGTCTTCACATGTTCACTAAAAACTTGCAACCGTCTCCAGCTTCGCGTCATGGTCGTTCACGCTCTCCATTCATATTCAAAGACTTGACCACTGCTTCTCATGTCTTCCTTCGCGATGACGCAGGGGCTGGCTCTTTTAAACCAGCATATACCGGACCTCACGAAGTCCTAAAACGAGGTGACAAAGTTTTTAAAATTGCAATAAATGGTAAACCAGTGACTGTCTCGATTGACAGATTAAAACCAGCATACATACTGCGTGATCCAGATACCACAACATTTACACCTCATATCTCAAACAACTCATACTCACACAATCACTCTCATTCGTCTACACATAAAGTATGTGATGACTTACCTGCCACTGATAACATTCCTAAAATTACTAAATCAGGTCGTCGGGTTCAATTTCCAGATTATTATCGCCCGTAGGACGGTCTCTGGAAGGGGGTGATGTAGTGTACCTACATATAAATAAATGTATATGCATAAGATAAAATAATTGTCAAAGTAAACATTATAAAAAAAATATTATATTTAAT